CAAAATGGCCGCCCGGCGGGGCCGGGGCCAGCGGCGCCCAGGCGACAAAATGGCGCCGGGCGGGCAGCGAGGGGGAAGGACGGACGAGGGGCGGCCGTGGGAGGCCGGGGCGGCCAGCGTGGGCTTCAGCCGTGCCAGGAGTACGGCGGAGGGGCTCCACTTGATGTGCGTATCCCTTCCAGCCGGGCAGCGAAAGCGCTGCGGGTGAAACCTGACCTTCCCCCCTCCCCCGACATTTTTTATTATTATTTTTTTTTAATTTCCCCGTCACTTCGGCAAAAGGATGCGAAAATGCCCAGAAATGCGCGTTCCCACTCGGCGGCCACGGGGGTGGCAGAGGCCTCGGCCTCCCCCTCCGCCGCCTCAGGCGCCATCGCTGCCTCAGGGCCCCCCCCCGGCCTCCCGGGCACCATCATCCCCTCAGTCCCCTCACGGCGCAGCTCCCTGGCACCGACCGCTGAAATGTTCTGGTTTTTTCCTCATAGCGTGAAGATTTTTGGCCCAGAATTGCTCTTTCCACACGCCTTCTCTCTCCCCCCCCCCATCATCACCGCACGCACCCCGAGGTGGGTAGTTTTATGCTTAATTCTTTCTCTTCCACTGCTTTTCTCCTTCGCAGGGGTTGAAGCCACCACCTCCCATTCTCCTCACAGTGTGGAAAATACCCAAACGCGCTTAAGGGAAAAAAAAAAACAAAAACCACAACAAACCACCAGAACACCCGAGGATTGATTTATCTTCAGAGCTGGAATAGTGCAGGGAAGAAGCCATCGCTGCTCGTTTTGCTCCCCACGACAACCTGCCCGCCATTCCGTTAATTAAAAGCATGTACTTGGTGTGCTCAGAGGTGGCAATACCGTTAAAAAAAAATAAAAACCCCCAGTAACATCCAAACGCTCGTTGGAGGCTGCAGCCAAGGTACAACATATGCTTTTTTTTTTTTTTTTTAACGTTTTCTTACCTTTTGTCCATATGACAGTGTTGTTACAGGCTACGTTATAGTATTGTCCCTTCTTTGTTAAAAACCACATGCCTAAAATACTTCTGTTTTTTCCTAAAACTGCAGATTCAGGCCCACAGAGATGCTTTTTTATTTCTACATAGAAATATTTCTATATATTCACTGCACATTTCTATATATATATATTTATCTCCTTTTTCCAGGGACTGCTTACAGAGTAGAAAAGAAACCCACACACCTAAACCACTATGATTTAATTGTATAAAATCACTATAAGCTTGGCCCGAATATGTTTGATATTTTATATATATATATATTACCTTTGTTTTCCTCCATTGGCTTTCTACTACAATATATCCTAAAAGCAGGAGAAAAAAATGCCAGCAAAAAAAAAAAGGAAGAAAAAGAACAAAAAGCAACCCATCTCTTTTTTACAGTCCATGGTGGAAGTTTGTGCCTGAATGTTTTATTTGTTCCACAGAGATGTAGATTTTCCTTGGGAGATTTGGGGAGGATGGTTTGTTGTTTTTTTTAAATTAAAAGTAGACAAAAAAAATACACCCAGAAAAACAACAATAAAAGAGAACCAAAAAGAAAAAAAAATAATAAAAAGCACACAAAACCAGACCCCAGTAACTGAAGCTGCAAATGCAATCACATAGTCCGGATCAGACAATTCATTGCAACAAAAAGAGAGGACAGATTAGTTCAAACTGCAATGGCTTTGCTGTAGATCCGGGAGGAGGGATCAGCTCCTTTATCCCACCATCGAGCGCTCCAAACACCACCATTATTTTTTTTTTTTAATTTTTTTTTTTTTGTGCTTTGTGTTGGGGCGTTTTATTTAAATCCAAGCAGGTGGCAAAACCCCGCCGAGCCGGGGCTGTCCATTTTTATATATAGCTATTTTTTTCCTTCCCCTGCGTGCACCCCATCCTTGTGCAATCCTCTCCCTTTTATTATGTGCTCTACGGCTTGCTCTCTATTTTTTTTTTTCCCCTCTCTGTGGGTATAAAGGTTTCTCTCCTCTCCCCAGCTCGGCTGCTTATTCCAGAAGTTTCTACAGGGGGAGGGGAGCACCCACTGCGGAGCCTTTTGCCGCAGCGAGGAGGAGGAGGATGCAGAGGATGCACCACCTCTCCCTGGCTGCCAGCTCTTTTCCAAGCCTCTCCCCCTTGCTAGATTTCCCCATCCTTGAAAAGGCTGCTGGGAGGTGTTTGCAGGGTTGGTTTTAAATTTTTTTTTTTTTTTTTTTTTTTTTGGCCCATAATTTAATTTTCCCCTCATCTAAAATGGTGGTATTTACCTATCTCACAGGCTGTTGAAATAATTTTGAGGATATGCAGGGTGCTTTGCAAATACAGAAAATGACAGTTCTGACCCCGTGGGTGTAATACAGAATGAATTAAAATGCATAATGGAGAAGAGAAAAATGTGCAAGCAAGCAGAAATTTTTTTTTTTTTTTTTTTTTTTTTTAAATAAATTAAAAGCAGAGCTGTCTCCCGCTGAAGATGGATGAGGCCAGGCTGGCAGTGACGGGGGGGGGCTGCAGCCGTAGCGAGGGTCCCCATGGCAGAAGTGACCTTTCCCAGGCGGTGGGAGGGAGGATTCTCCCCCCCCTGCCCCGACATGCTCCCGCTTGGAATTCATTTTAAATAGCAGGGGTTTTTGGTTTGGTTTTTTTTTTTTGTTCTTTCTCCCCTCCCCTTCACGAACAGCTTGCTCTTTCCGTGATTTTTTTTTTTTTTTTTTCCCCGGTTACCTTCTGGTTAGCAGTTCCTTATTATTTTTTTTTTTTTTTTTGTGTGTGTGTGTGTGTGTTTTGAATTGCGTTTTAAAATTGCCCAGCTGGAGACAAGTCTTGATTAGAGCTGGAACAATAGCTCCATTTTATTAATAATGGGAAGGATTTACAATCCTACAGCACCTTCCTTGGAAGGCTTTCAAAATCATTTGCAAACACTCACAAATTTTAAGATTTCACAGCCCTCAGCTGTGAGGTGGGTAAGTATTTTCATGGTGCCACCACCAAAAAAATAACGTTGGTGGCAAATCTCTGTTTCTGAGTGCTTAGAAAGATGACGAATTTGGTGGGTTTTAGGGGCTGCAGCGCTGAGGGGTGGCGGGGGGGTTGGTGAGTGGGGGCTGGCTAAAAGCTGTAACCTAGAATCTGTTCCGTGTTCTCTGTAAATACAGAGTATTTTGCTGCGTCCTGGGAAACTGGGCTGTTGTTTCTCCGCAGCCGACCCTTCCCTCTTGCTCTTGCGAAGCTGTGGAACTTGCCTGCTTGTCAGTAAACATCTGCTTATAGATTTTTATTATTTTATGATTTTATTTTTTAAATCCATTACCTCTTTGTAGTCCCCGAGCGACCTCCTCTAGTGCTGGCTGCGCCGTGGTTTGACCGCAGCTTTGCATTAAAGCAGGTTTGCTGGGGCTGATGTGTCTCCCCACCAGGCAGTGACCTTGCTGGGGGGGGGACAGAGCCCACCGAGCTAATGCAGATGCTCCTCTTCCATCACCAAACCCCTCCATCCTCTGCTTTTTTTTCCAGCTCACCCCTTCCCTGGCCCCGGGTGTTGAAATATTATGGGTGAAAGCTGTCTTATGCCTCATATATATATATTTTATTTTTTTTTTCCTTCCCAGGGAAATAGAGGATTGTTTGTCTGACCCCTCTCCGCAGCAGATACCTCCTTTGTAAGTGTTGTAGTCGCGTAGGGATGTCGGAGCTGGCCGGGCAGTGGGATCTGGCCTGGGTTGTGTAAGCGTGTGTCGCACACGGGCCACAGAAACCCACAATGTTTCTGTGGTTACCGCCGCCTGGAGAAGCACAAGCAGGTCCCAGGGCTTCCCCTTCCCACTGCTTGCTAGTTCACAAAAAGCAAAGGCTGGTGCTTCTGGAAAAAGCTCTGCCTCGTGGCCTTTAAAAAAAAAAAATAAAGAAAAACTGCTGCGGATTAGTCATCCTTATTTTTAAAGGAAGCTGTGTTTGCCAGCCCTATCTGTGTAATGTGTGTGTGTGTGAGATATTCACCATTAGCTGTATTTGCGAGGGCTGGTAACGTGCTCTGGTCACTGTGCTTTGGAGCGGTGCCACCGAGGCTCCCTCGAGCTGCTGCTGCTGGCAGGTGGAAAAAAACTGACAATCCAGCTTTTTGTAACCTTTCCTTCCATTTTTTCTTTTTCAGTGCCGGTATCTCTGCGTTGGCAGGTGTGGAAATGTGGAAATTCATAGGAACGCTACGCGAGGACGGATGACCTGTCTTCTGGAGGCACTTCCAACTCCAGAGAAGAAACCCTGATGATTTATATTTCTTTTTCTTGCCTGTGGTAGCTTTTACTCTGAGCTCCACTGCCTCTTGTGAGTTTGATCCTTTTGGATGCTAAATATGGCACCGTTTTTAAACCTTGGTGGTTTTTTCCCATCCCTGTGGTCACTGAGAAGAGGGAGCGGTGCAATTAAAAGAGTGTAGGGAAGGACAACTCCCTCCCCCTTTCCCCTTTCAGAAAAAAAAAGAAAAATCCTTCCAGAATTGTGTGCTCCTGAACTGCTGCATAGGCAGAAAACATACAATGCCGTTGTCAGCATTGTGCTGATGTGTGGCACGTTTAAAAAAAAAAAAGGAAAAAAAAAAAAAACACACAAAAGGGGAGACTGGGAGCCTCCAGGGAGTAAAACTGTGGGGCCCCTTCCCTACACATGATAGTGAATTACTCCTAATTTTGCTCAGGCGAAGGGCTGACGTCGGAGGGAGCGTTGCGATGGACCTAAATTGTGTTGGTGAAGATCAGAGTCCCCTTGAACTTGCTCCTGTGAGATGCTGCTGGTTTATTACTCGATTCTTCAAAGCCTGGCTCGCTCACCGGGCAGAAGGAAAACGCTTCCTTACTGCCTGCAGTTCCTTTTGTTGTGTGGCAAAAGGTAATAAAAAGCACCTGGCGCTGGGCTCTCCTTGGTCACACGTGACTTGGAGACACGGAGCCCTCGAAGGCGCGCGAGGAGTGTTAGGTACCGGCTCCTCGTTAGCCTCCCTTAATGAGAATATTGGCAGGGGTGTTGGGTGGATGCTTCTGGCTGACCAGCAGAGAGGCCCTGCCCTGCTAAACTGGAGCAACACCTTATGAGAATATTAGAAACGCGGTGATTTCCCTGCCAGCGAGGCAGTCCGCTTGCTGATTTGTAGCACAGCTCTGACTTTATGCTTTTCTGGCCCCAAAAAAATGTAGTGGAGGGTAAGTATGAAGTGTCCTGGCCAGATTTCCTCCCATCCTCCCTGCGGTGCGGAGCTAGGGAAAGCTGGCGTGTGGGGTGTGTGAAAATCGCCAGTAGCTCCTGTGCCTGAAGCCTCCTCTATACTTGAAATAACCCAGCGTGGACGGGGATATTAATTTTGTTTTCTCGTTAGGGATGTGTTGGTTTGGAGAAACGCCTACGCCTCGTGCTGGTCAGAGGCCTTCGCTGGCGTGGAGGTGCAGTGGACCATAAGCTTGGCTGGTTGGGATGTTTCCACGTTTTTCAGGTTGGCACACCCCGTGGGACTTGGAATTCCTTTTTTTTTTTTTTTTTTTTTTTGGCAGTTTAAGACAAACGAGTGAGAATTACCTGAACTTTTACCACCCTCTGCTCTGGACTGAAGAGTTACTAGAAAGAACTCCATCCGCAAGGTTTCCAAGCTAAACAAAACCTGAATTTCCGGTGCCAAAAAGCAAGCGAACGATAGAAACCTCCGCTCCTCCTCCGTAAGGGGGGGAAACAGCGGGCTTTCAAGCTTTCCTATTTTCCCAAAGAGTTAAAAAGCTGGATTGGGCAATCTGAGGAGGTAAAATAAAAGCCAAAACTCGCCCAGGAACTGTTCTCCTGCGCCGGATTCCTGGAGAGGTTTCCGAGCGCAGCAAATCTCGATGCACAAGTATTTTTGTGGTTTTTTTCCCTGAAGGGAAAGAGCGATAACGGCGCAAACGCAGGTTCAGGCTGCTCCGTTTAAAACACCGTCCGGTTGCTTCGGTATCAAAATGGTGTTTGGCCAAACACAAGCTGTGGTGGTGGCTGCCCCGGTGTTAGTTTTGCCCATCAATGCGATGGGGAACGTGGGGAAGAGCAGCCTCCAGCTCATGGGTTTGGACTTGGTGGGGGTGAAGGTGTTAAACCCTCGTCCTGCATCACCCCCAGCACAATTCCTGTGATTTTTCCTGGGCATTTCACGCAGGGCCTTTATGCAGAAATAACGCGACAATTGGGCCTTAAAAATGGCAAAACACAGGATGTGGCGATCCATCCAGTCTTAGGGGATTTATATCCTTTGCAGGTGTCATGTTTGGGTATCAAATCATGTGGGGCTGGCGCTTTTTGGTTTGGTTTTCTTTGGTTTTCCCCTAAAACGTACTATTTTGCAGCCTGGAAGACCAAAGTCCTCTCTATTAAGCTGATGAGATGCCCTGTGTTTGGGAAAAGCCCTCGCGAGGTGAGCAGGTACAGCTTGGTAGGTGGCTGCACACAAGTTGGGGGACAAGGGGAAACAGGGCAGAAGCTGCCACAGTGATATTCCTATTTTTTCCCAACAACAGGCCCAAAAAAAGGTATTAATTCTAACATATCTACTAGGCTTTAAGCTCTTTTGCAGCCCTGTGAGGGCACACGGTGTTTAGGTTGCGTGGTTTAGCAATCGCACTCTCTCTGCTGCTGAAGAAACGTCTGGTTTTGTGTGGGAAAGTACTTTGAAAACAGAAGTGGGCTTTTATATATATATATTTATATTTATACAAATGGGTTGAATTGCCCTGGTGAGGCCCAATCTGGAGCACTGGGACCAGTTCTGGGCTCCCCAGTTCCAGAAGGACAGGGAACTGCTGGAGAGGGGACAGCAGAGGGTACAGAGATGCTGAGGGGCCTGGAGCATCTCTGTGCTGAGGAAAGGCTGAGGGACCTGGGGCTGTTCAGTCTGGAGAAGAGAAGGCTGAGGGGGATCTGATCAACACCTCTAAATCCTTCCAGGGTGGGTGTCAGGAGGATGGGGCCAGGCTTTTTCCAGTGGTGCCCAGGGACAGGACAAGAGGGAACGGGCACAAACTTGAACATGGGAAGTTCCACCTCAACATGAGGAGGAACCTCTTTGAAGGTGGCAAAGCCCTGGCAGAGGCTGCCCAGAGAGGTGGTGGAGTCTCCTTCTCTGGAGACATTCCAACCCCCCCTGGACACGTTCCTGTGGGACCTGCTCTGGGTGGCTCTGCTGTGGCCGGGGGTTGGACTGGGTGATCTCCAGAGGTCCCTTCCCACCCCATAGCATTCCGTGATTCTGTGAGTGCAAACAGAATTCCAGGGTTCCGGAGCCCTGGTTCCCGTGCTGCAGGAGGTGACTGGTGCTCACCCCTGGCTGCAGCGGTGGCATTTTGTGGCCTCTCCCATCCCTGCTGGGATACGAACGTCACCGTGAAGTCTAGGGGGGGGAAGAACATTAGAAAATAAATTACAAAATACTGGGTTTCAAAATCCTGAAGGGAGTTTTCTGGGCAGAGGCGTCTCCTCGTGAGGATTTGGAGCACTGACCCTCAAAGAGGGAAGAACTGAAATCAAGAGCTTTATTAACACAAATCCTCTACTTTGTGTAGCTTAAGGATCCAGACCCGGGCTTCGTGCTCAAAGCATTAGCGGCGCATGAGACAATATCCTCTCTCTTGGCAACAAAACGAGCCCAAATATCAAACGGCACCGATTCCTTCTCGGAGAAAATTACCCATCGCGTAAAACGTTAATGGGTAAGCAATAAAATTAGGCCAGTCGTTCAGGCTGGCTTAAAAAAAAATGAGATAAAAGCCTAGTTGGCAATTCAATATTCAGCTGCCGTAGTGTCATTTTAATAAATATAGTCAATGAGCAGGAAAGGCACGTAAATACGGTTTACGGTGACAAGATGGTGGCTGGAGCTGGCAAAGAGATGCTCTGAGAGGTGTCTGAGGGCTTTTGTCTGGGGAACCACTGTTTTTCTGTAAAAAGTGAAGCAAACTGGTCGCTGCTGGGGATAATCACCTCCTGCCTCCGCTCGCTCTGATCCCTGCCAGTCCCCAGCTGATGTCCCCGTCGTGTCCCCGGCTGCGAGCACCAAGTACAGGGGGGTTGCTCTCTCAGCCAGCAGAGTTCTGGTTGCTGTCCTTGTTCGGTATCTAATCTTTTGCTTTTTTTAACATGTTTGGCAAGCGGCGCCGGCCACACGTGGCAGCGAGCTCCATCCACCGCTCGGGTAAGACGCCGCCCTTCCAAACATCCCAACTTGCCTTTTCGAGCTCGCTTCTATTTATTGACGTTTCCTCCTCGAAACGAGGCTGTTTATGGGTCTTTGTGTGGACCCCGAGGATGTTTTCTGATTCTCCTGCCCTTTCCCCCCTCCCCTCTAAACTGGAGAGCTGCTAACTTTATTAGCTCCATATATGGCAGCCCTGTTTTCTCACGCCTTTAATGGCTTTCTTTTGATCTGGCCTCGTCTTGCCTCGTTTTTCTGGACGTGAACCCGGTGTTCAAGCTGAGATGGGTTTATAACCTGCCTCCCTTGTTAATACATGACCCATCGGTTTAATAATCCTCTCCGAGTGCCGATAAGAAACCTCTGAATGTTTTAACGGCCAGCGGGGTTGGCCGAGATGCCCAGAGATCGCTGGGTTCCTGGCTACACCCTCCATGCTGATATCAGTAATTAAAATTGATTAAAACTGCGCCTTGTGCTGCCCCAGCCCCTGCTTGTCCTGAAGGCTGAGGGCCATGGGGCGATGAAAAGCAGCTGAGGTCCCTCCTCTTCCTCACCCGTTGGCCCCTCTGGGGAGGGCAGCGTGTGGGGATGCCTGTGTCTCCCTCGCTGTGTTGTCACTGGAGGCTGGGACAAATGGTGGCAGTGACAGTGGTGGTTGGTGCCACCTGAGCCTGGTCCTTCTCATGCTGGTTGGTGCCACCTGAGCCGGGTCCTTCTCAAGGCCCCTTTGGGCTGTTGGGGGGACGGTGGTGCTTGCTCCGGTCTCTCGCCTGGGTCTGTCTTCTTTAAAACCTTGGAAGGAGTTGGAGCGGGTCCTTCTCAAGGCCCCTTTGGGCTGTTGGGGGGACGGTGGTGCTTGCTCCGGTCTCTCGCCTGGGTCTGTCTTCTTTAAAACCTTGGAAGGAGTTGGAGGGACGCGGTCACAGCGGTGTCACCCGAGTGCAACCGGGAAGAGTTTCCCCCCCAAAAGTGTATTCAAAACACCGGGATGGTCCAGGATGGTGTTCTGTGTCACCGCCTGGGCTTTGTGCTCCTCTTCCAGCTGGTTCTCCTGTACCAGAACCCTTTGAGTGCTCGTTTCAACCCTCTCTTCTCTCAGCAGCAGCCGATGGCTGTGGTCACCACCCGCCCGTGTCCCTGCGAGCCCCGTGACAGCAGTGAGGTCCCTCTGACGGACCCAGGAGCTGGGTTGGCTTTGCTTTCTCCTGTCCCTTGGAGGTGCCACCTCAGCAGGGAGAGGGAGGATGGTTGGAGACACCATCGCAGCCAACACGCTCTGTGGGAGAGGGGAGAATTCGGCATGAAGAAGCCATTTGATGAGTGATTTGAGGTTTTTCCTCCCAAAAATGGGTGTCCGTAGAGATAGAGGTGCCTAATGACTTCTCCTTGGGCTTCTCCCCAGGCACAAATACAGGTTGGGTGGAGATTGGCTGGAGAGCAGCCCTGAGGAGAAGGACTTGGGAGTGCTTATGGACGAGAAGCTCAACATGAGCCGGCAGTGTGCGCTGGCAGCCCAGAGAGCCAACCGTGTCCTGGGCTGCATCAGGAGAAGTGTGGCCAGCAGGTCTCGGGAGGTGATTCTGTCCCTCTGCTCTGCACTTGTGAGACCCCACCTGGAGCTCTGTGTCCAGCTTTGGAGTCCTCAGCACAGAAAGGACATGGAGCTGTTGGAATGGGTCCAGCAGAGGGCCATGAAGATGGTCAGAGGGATGGAGCACCTCTCCTATGAGGACAGGCTGAGGGAGCTGGGGTTGTTCAGCCTGGAGAAGAGAAGGCTCCGGGGAGACCTTATAGCAGCCTTTCAATACCTGAAGGGTGCCTATAGAAGAGCTGGGGAGGGACTCTTTGCCAGAAGGTGTAATGATAGGACAAGGGGAAACGGTTTTAAATTGGAAGAAAAAAGATCCACATTAGATCTCAGGAAGAAATTTTTTACTCTGAGGGGGGTGAGACACTGGAACAGGTTGCCCAGAGAAGTTGTGGCTGCCCCATCCCTGGAGGGGTTCAAGGCCAGGCTGGATGGGGCTTGGAGCAACCTGCTCTGGTGGGAGGTGTCCCTGCCCAGGGCAGGGGGGTTGGAACTCGATGATCTTTGAGGTCCCTTCCAACCCAAACCATTCTATGAGTCTATGATTCTGCCCCATCCAACCACGGCACCAAACCCCTTCTCCTGGAGAAGACACGTGTTGGCAGTGCCTTTTCCTGCGCGCCGTGTTTTAAATCATAAGAGGGTTAGTGTGCGAAGAGTTGTTGGGTTTCTGCCCTTAATGGGTAAATGTGAGCGTGGCCGGGGAAACTGAGGCACGGGGCGGTGATGGGATGGGCTGGGGCCGGTGTGCGTCACGGCCCTGATTAAATCAAAGAGATCCCCCCCTTCGTTAAGCTTCCACGGCTTCGACCGGTTGCAGAGGTGGGTTTGGGTGGCCCCAGCCCTACACCCCACTAATTAAGAAGGTGGTTTTTAACGAACAGGAAAGCGCCGTCGGGAGGCTTTGGGCCAAGGAAAATAGCGAAATATGGGTGCGTTCTGCAGGGAAAGGAGCTTCACCAAAAAACCCCACGACTCCCGGCCCCGGGTGCGTGTTCGGTTTCATCCTGACCTCAAACCGCTCGGAGTCGGTTGGGCATTTTCCCCTTTTTTTTGGGTGTAGAAATAGGTGTTTCTATCACGCAGAGGCACGTTTTGGTGGAAAACGGCACCCTCTGAGTTGAAAAATGTCTAATTCCACCTCGCGAGCCCCTTTTCGAGGAGGGGGGCGGGCGGGGAGACGAGACGCCACTCGATTAAATTCTGTGAGCAGGGTAATATTCATTATGAGTGTTTCCTTCACCCCATTTTAATTAAAAGTTGGGGGGGGGGAGCAGGGGGGTGGCTGGCAGGCGACCCCCCCCCCATGGCAGAAGCTTCTCTCGCGTCTCCCCATTTTTGTGGGCATGATTCACTGAGCCCCCTCCCTGCTCCCTTCAGAGATAAAGACAACCCCCAGGGATGGGGGGCAGAGCCCCGGGGACCCCCTCTTTTTGGGGGGGGGGGTGTCACAAGCCAGGAC